TCTCTCTTTTCTTTTGTACTGAACGTTCGTTTTTAGAGATTTATCAGCCGGACATCCTGAGAAAGATTGCGTTTGTGCTTGCGGTGTGAGTGTCGTTGATGTGTTTTTGTCGTGTGCTTCATCTTCGGTCTGACCGATCTGTCCGTCTTATACGATTTGCCTTAAACTCTTTCCCGTACAGTAGCCGAAGAAAAGAGGTCCGGCTTCTGCCTTGTAAATCAGCTGAATAGGGCTTTTTTAGCATCTCGCAAAGGAACATTTCCGCCGCGCTTGGATTTCGGTGTTTTGCTTTTTCCGATCTTTTAGAGTACAAACCGTTTCGAATGATAACGTTGATGGAGTTTTAATAGGATTTAATGTTTTTATAAGCAGAGGTGACGACGAGCCTTTGGTTGTTTGAATGTGGTAGAAATTCTGCTGAACGATCACATTTTTGATAATTGCCTTTTCGTTTATAAATCTCGGTGTTGTAGTTTAGCTTTAGATGAACTTGTGTGGGAGGGGGAGGAGCTTTGACTCGTATTCTAATGAGGGGGCGGGAGGGAGGCGTGGCCTGTCAGTCAACTTTCAGCAGCGGGCTTCTTCGGGAGAGGTGAACGTGTTGATTTTAGTGCTCGTTTTACTATAGCAGGCAAACAAATCTCGGCACTTTCAAGTTTACTTCACCAAAGACAGTCGGCGAGCGGATCGCGCGGACGTTACGTCGTTTTCTCTCGAGGTGGGCCACGCTGAGACTTTATAACAGACTGGGTTGCAGTTGTGGAGAATGTGCCTTCTTTGTACATATGCATTCAGCTGTCTTTAGTTGGCAAGGTGCGGACACCGATTTGAAGGGTGATTTGGATCCAGCAAGTGCCACAAACTAAACGAAGACATCACTACAGAGCGGAGACAACTGAAACTAAAACGCGGAACGAGGACAGGTTGAAACGACGGCTCCATTCCGAAAACCTAGTGAGCTGCCTACATAGGCTGCTGGCTTCTAAGGGAGCATCATAATTCATTAATGCATCATACAAATAGACTTTTGCATTGGCACACTTGCAGTTAAATTACAGTACAAAGCACAGAAAAATATTTGTTTTTAATTCGAATCAACTATTTTGCTGCTTTTCTGTGTTTTCGGATGGATTTTTCACTCGAAATGCATTATGAATTTCGCCTTCTCAGTGAAGGATACGTGTGATGCTGCCTTAGAATTTGGCAAAAGTAGTGCACTTACTGTCTATGCACCGTGTTTTGCGGAAAGTCGCACCGGGTCAAAATTGCATCGTTAAGAGAAAAGTCACAGTTTTATTGTTACATTCTGAAATAATGTAAAATACAGGTGCATTATGTAATTGCATTATATATGTGACCCTGGAGCACAAAACCAAAAATAAGATATTTTATTGAGATTTATATATCATCTGAAAGCTGAATAAATAAGCTTTCCATTGATGTATGGTTTGTTAGGACATATACATAGGATAGGACATATACCGAGATACAACTATTTGAAAATCTGGAATCTGAGGGTGCAAAAAAATCGAAATATTGAGAAAATCACCTTTAAAGTTGTCCAAATGAAGTTCTTAGCAATGCATATTACTAATCAAAAATTAAGTTTTGATATATTTACGGTAGGAAATTTACAAAATATCTTAATGGAACATTTCATTTACTTGATTTTTGGCATAAAAGAGAAATCGATCATTTTGACCCATGCAATGTATTGTTGGCTACTGCTACAAATATCCCCCAGCGATTTAGGACTGGTTTTGTGCTCCAGGGTCACATATAAGTTGTTTAGGTATATATAGGTCACAGTGGGTCAAAATTGCATTGTTGAGAGAAAAAAGACACAGATAAGTCACAATTGTATTATTATTACATTCAGAAATCATGTAAAATACAGATAAAATGAAATGCTTACAAACATTATAAACACTATAATAAACATGTATTTTAGTTCCCCTCACTCCACAACAAATCCTTTCAATTTAACGGTATTCAGATGAGGAATAAAAAAATTGAAGTATAAAACATAAGTTATAGCTGCATTCATTATAAACATCAAACATGAAACTCCAACCAACATGTTTTGCATGCTTGGCGTTGATTTCATCGTCAAGATGAAATATATATATATATATATATATATATATATGCAACATGTTTTAGGTAATAAAAAATGTGATGTTCTGGAAAATACAGATAGCAGCTCACTAGGTTTTAGGAGACGGCCTTGGAAATAATAATCGCATCTATTACAGGAAAACGTTTTTATTTTCTTTTAATCTCACAATATAGTTTATTAAGGCTTTATTCATTAATTTGTCTTCCAAAAGACTGTGTTTTTGACCTGGTGGGTCTTGTTGACCGGTTATCTACCTCAGAGTTTTGTTGTCCTCTGTTTTGATTGGTCGGGCAGCAGGTTCAGCCCGCCCCTCCAGACCAAACGGCCAGCTCTGGAGCTGCCCACATACACTTGATTTCTTTCAGGTTTTTTGTTTTTAAATACTTTAATCCTCTTCTTCTTCTTCAAACAGAAACGTTTTTTTTATTATTCTTATCGTTATAAGGAAAAGTTGTGCGTTGAACGTGTCGTTTAGCATTCAGATTCATCGTTTCGAAAGCAAAAAAACTGCTGCTTTTTCATCACAAGATATTCCAGTAGTCCATAGGAAGTAGACAAGAAAGTGTGCGCGAGAGAGAGAGACGGAGCCAATGAGAAACAGCCATGCTGAAAGTTGCGTGAAAGATGTTTTCCCGAGACATCACTGTTGTGTGGAAGCTCGTTTCTGCCACGGAATTAAAAAAGAAAAAAGAAAAAAAAGGTAATTGCAACTTTTTCTCTCACAATTCTGCCTTTTTTTTTTTTTTACATGTGGCAATTCTGTTTTCATTTCCACCACAGAAGTGCACCTTTTTATCTCTGAATTTTGAATTTTGATTTTTTTTTTATCCCACAGTGCTGAGTTGTTTTTCTCAGAATTGCAAGTTTATATCTTGCAGTTGCAAATTATAAATGATAAGTTCTGACTTTTTTCTTTGAATTTTGAATTTATACTGTATCTCACAATTCTCTGTTTTTATTTTTTCATAATTGCAAGTTTAATTCTAACAGAATTCTGAGTTTGCATCTTGCGATTTTGACTATTCCTCTTTGGAATTCTGAGTTTGTCTTGCACTTCTTCTTCTTCTTCTTCTTTTTTTTCCACCACAGAATAAACATTAAATAAGGTAATCTCAACTTTTTAATCTCACTGTTTTGATATTATATCTTGCATTTATGTTTTTTACCCAGAATTGTGACTTATAATTTGTTTCCATCATGGAATAAAAAATAAAAAAAAAGGTAAATGCAACTTTTTATCTCACAGTTCTGACTTTTCTTCACAGAATTGCAGGTGTATATTTTGCAATTGCAAGGTAACATCACATAATTCTGACTTTTTTCTCAGAATCATGAGAAAAAAAGTCAGAATTGTGAAATGTAAACTTGCAATTATGAGTTTAGAACTTGCGATTGCACAATGTAAACTCGCAATTGTGAGAGAAAAAATAATTGAGATATAAATTTGCAATTGCAAGAAAAAAGTCTAAACTGTTAGATATAAATTGTGAGAGAAAAAGTCACAATTTCCTATTTATTTTTTTATCCCGTGTGGGAAACCAGCTTCCATACTGTTGCTTTCAGACCGAGTCCAGACAGACTTTTAGCGGCGTAATCCACGGTGCTCAGCTCACAGCCGAGTCCATTCTTGACATGCATGCGCGTGCATGTGTGCGTGCGTGCGTGCGTGCGTGTGTGTGTGT